GCCCCGCGTGCATTGCGCACAGCCCCTCGTGTAGTTCACGCACTAGGTCGTGCGCCTCCTCCTGCCCAATGCATTTGAGGTATACACCCGAGTACGACCTTCGGTATAATTCTCCCTCGATAAGCGTGCAACGAGCTGCCTTTTGCCTTAGAGCCCAAGCTTGCTTGGGGTCTTCTGGCACCACCCCCTCTTGGAGGTACTTCATAATTGGATGTCTCCAATCTTCGTATGGCACGAGCTGGGTCGTGTTGACTGCTACCCCCGGGGTGGTTTCATCTTCTTCTTTTTGGACGGACACGAGGCGCGTCGATTCGAAGTCTGTAGCCGTTGCTAGCTTGGATAGTGCGTCGGCATGCGCATTTTCCTCCCTTGGTATCTGTGCATACGTTACTGATTCGAATGTTGTGGCCCTCTGCTTAACGCGCTCCATGTAATGCGCCAGTGTGTCTTCCTTTGCGTCGAACGCACCATTCAGTTGATTGACCGCCAGGGAGGAGTCGGAAAGTATACGCACCGTTCTTGCCCCGAGGTCGTGAGCGGCCGTCATCCCTGCCAAGATGGCCTCGTATTCCGCGGCGTTGTTTGTCTTCAACGCCCTGAACCTGATTGCGATTTCGTGCATTACGCCGGCAGGTGTGCGCACCACAACCCCTGCTCCGGCGCCATGCTTACTCGCCGCTCCATCGACATAGACTTCCCAAACGCCCTCCGGCGTTGTTTCGAGGGTCACCCCTTCCGCGATGAAGTCCGCTAAGATTTGGGCCTTGATTGCTGGCCTTGGCGCGTATTGAATATCGTACTCCGAGAGCTCCACCGCCCATTTGACCATGCGTCCCGACACTTCCATTGAAGTCAGAATCTTTTTTAGTGGCAGGTTGGTCAGGACGGTGACTTGGTGCGCTTGAAAGTACGGGCGCAGTTTCTGCGAAGCGCTCACTAACGCCAGGGCAGCTTTCTCGATTGAGGAATATCTTGTTTCCACGCTAACGAGAGTGCGCGAGGTGTAATACACTGGTTGCTCAGTCCTGCCATCCCTCCTAGATATCAGAACCGCGCTCACGGCTCTTGTTGACACGGCGAGATACAAGAAAAGTTTTTCATTAAGCTTGGGAGCGGTCAGTACAGGGGGGGATACAAGATACGCCTTTAGTTCCTGGAAGGCCGCTTCGCATTCTGTGGACCATGCGAAGCGCGTCCCGTTCTTGAGTGTCTGGAAGAAGGGCGCGCATTTGTCAGCGGACCTTGGTATGAACCTCCCCAGTGCCGCTATCTTGCCGTTCAGAGATTGGATTTCCAATGCGTTCCGCGGCGCTCGTAGTTGTTGGACCGCGGTGATTTGCTTCGGGTCGACCTCTATGCCGCGCTTGGTTATCATGAACCCTAGAAATTTCCCCGCCTCTGCTCCAAAGACACATTTGAGTGGATTGAGGCGAAGGCTGTGCTTGCGGAGGGCTTCGAAGGTCTCGCGTAGGTCCTCCAGGTGTGACTTACCCGCCTTGGTTTTGACGATAAGGTCGTCTACATACGCCTCGATGTTCCGGCCGATTTGCTGCGAGAAAACTGCGTCGATCATTCTTTGGTATGTCGCGCCCGCGTTTTTCAACCCGAACGGCATACCCACGAAGCAGAAGTTCCCGAAAGGCGTCATGAAGGCCGTTTTTTCTTCATCTTCCTTGGACATTTGGATTTGGTGATATCCTGAGAACATGTCGAGGAAGGACAACGTCTCGTGGTCGGCGGTCGCGTCGATCAGCTGGTCGATGCGTGGCAGGGGGTAAGGGTCTCCCGGGCATACTTTGTTGATTGTGGTGTAGTCGACGCACATCCGCCAGGCTCCTGACGATTTTTTGACTAAGACCACGTTCGCCAGCCACTTCGGGTACTTCACGGGGCGGATCAATCCGGCTGCTAGCAGGCGCGCGACCTCCTCTTCTATCGCCTTCAGCTTGTCCCCGGTGAACGTCCTCCGCCCTTGTTGCCTTGGTTCGGCGCCGGCTGGAACCGCGAGGCTATGCTGCGCTACCTCCCTGGGCACTCCTGGCATGTCCTCTGTGCACCACGCGAAGAGCTCCTTGTACTCCTTCAGCAGCGTTATGAGTGGTTCGATTGCGTTGCTGCTGACGTGAGTGGAGATGCGTATCTTCCTGGTCGGCTCAGCAGGGTTTAGCGCGACCTCGAAATCGGAATCCATGGATTCCGGGCGGGGCTCTTCTGCTCTTGTGTCGACGATGTTGGTTTGGCGTGCCACAACGCGGTCTTCCCAAGTCGTTCCTCGCGCCTCCCCGACTCCTCCCTGTGTTGGAAACTTGAGCTTCTGGTGACACGTCGACGGGAGGGCCATGAACTTCGCGAGGAAAGGTCGGCCCAAGATGCCATTGTGCGCCGATTCGCAATCGACGATTGTGAACTCTATCTGCTTGGAGACGCGGGGCTCCTGGTCCCCAATAACTACTGGGAGGGTGACCACTCCAATTACCGGGACTCTGGTTCCGGAGAAGCCAACCAAGTTGCCGTGTGCGCGCCTGATTAGGCGCGGATCGATATCCATTTTGTTGATGGTATTCTGGAAGAGGATGTCGGCCGCGCTACCCCCGTCTATCAGGAGACGGTGGGTCTTGCAGGCGGCGATCAGCGCGGTGACGATGAGTGGCTCCTCCGACGGGATTCCTTGTGGGAACTCTGCGTCGCCGAAGCTCAGGTTGAACTTCGGCGGTGCGTCGACGGCCGCGCACTCCTTTGCGCGCTCACGCTTGGTTTTCTTCTTGGGACGATCTCCTTCGACCGTTACCACCCCGATCTCTTTGCGCACTACATATGCGCCTGTGTCATCGTCGTAATCGGTTTGTGGGGGTGGGGGTGGCTGTTGTGGCGCTTCGACTTGCTCCTTTTTCACGTGGGTGAATTCAGTTAGCAACCCTCGTCGTACGAGGCCCTCTATTTCGTACCGTAACTCTCGGCATTCTTCTGTCTTATGCCCCGTTGCTCTGTGGAATTCACAATGTCTGCTCCGGTCGCGCATGTAGGGTTGAGACTTCAGCGGGGCAGGCCAGTTAATCTTGTATCCTTTCTCGCGGAGGACGTGGAACACGTTCTTCACGGAGTCATTGAGGGGCGTGTAGGCATTGGATACGCGCCTGTCTGGCGATCGCCCGCGCTGTCCCTGCTCCGGTGGGGGAGGGGGGTTGCGCTTCGGACCACTGTGCATCTGAAGTAGTTGGTCCCGTGGGATGGGGGTCGGGGGTTGTCGACGCGTCTGTTCCTCTCGCGACATTCTCGCCGGTTCGAAGCGTCTGACGGATCCCGCCCCCAAGGTTTCTTCTAACGTGATTGCTTTCTCGATCTTCATCTCCAACTCCGTTGAGAGCGTGACGGGCCTTTTTGCTAAGGCCCGTTTGAGCTCCATATTGTTGGTCGCCTCCATGAGGTGATGGGCGGCTGTTTCGGGAGTAAGGTCACGAACGGACATTGCTACCCTGGACCATCTGGCGTAGAAAGCCCTCAGGCTTTCTCCGTCTTTTTGCCTGATATCAATCAGGGCCTTGAGGTGGAGGGGGCGTCGCTTCTGGGACGCGAACTTTGTGGTGAACAGAAGTATGAACTCCTCAAACGAGTTGATGATTCCATTGGGGAGGCGGTTGTACCAATCGAGGCATATCCCGGTGAATGTCGAGGGGAAGGTTCTGCATAGCGCGGCGTTGGAGTTGGTTTGGAGTTGCATGCGCAGGCAGAAAGTGCTCACGTGGTCCTCCGGGTCGGTAGTGCCGTTGTATGTCGGGAGGGTTGGTGGCGCTCCGGTTAGGTTCTCTGCCATTATTTGCGCGCTCAATGGCTGGTGTAGGGTCCTTTTGGGCGGGTTGGGTCGGTATTGCGGAGTCAGGTGTTGTTCCAAGAAGCTGAGGTCTGCCCGCCCCGGTGGTTCGACTTCCTGTATCCCGCGCGCGGGAAGTTCCGCTGGCGCGAGTTGTGACGACAGGATTGTCCCTGAAGTTTCTCCCAAGGCTTGTTGAGGCGCGATCGCTGTCGCGTCCGTCGTTGGCGCGCCTTCCTTGCTCATCATGAGCGCGATTACCTGGCTCATTTGTCTCTGCACGTCGGCTATGACGTTGTTTTGTTTCGTCAACAGCTCCCTCATTTCTTTGGGCGTCAGCTCCGGCTCTTCTTCCTCGATGAGTACCGCGTTGAGGTTGCTGGCTTCTGCGAACGCCCTTGGGTCAGTCATCGCCTTGATCGGCGTTGCTTGGTCAGGTTGTTCAAGATTGCGCTCTGCCATTGGTGGATCTTTTTCAGCGTTTCCTCTCGGCCCCACGGTGGGCGCCAATTGTTTGAACCTAACTGAGTGTAGGAGTGAGTTTCGAAGGAGAGTTTGGGTCGAGAAGAAACGCGAGAGCCGGGCTTGATCAGAGGAACCAGAATCAGAGAGTTGAGTGAGAAAGAGATTAGAAAGAGAAGTAGTTCTTGGAGAGAGAGAATGGTGAAAAATGCGATCCCCCTCACCCACCGTAGTAAATGCCATATTTATAGGCTTCATGGTGGTGGGTGAGTGGTTGACATAGGGAGAGATACAGTGATGTGACTACTGGGATACAATGATGTGACCACTAGCACACTAAGGCTTTTAGGCCATCCCTCTACCTAGGATGAGTCAGAGATCCACTCATGGCCCTGATGTGACTACCCGCTTGGAAGAGGTGCGCTTCCCTCATCTTCTGGTTCAGCCTACGCTAGTCCTCCCCTAGCGCCTGTCATCTCTTCGCGCCTGGACGTGGTTAGCCATGATGAGGCGGCACACTCGGGGTCCTCGCGCTGCCGTGTTGGGGTCTCATCCAGTTGCGCCCGGTTCCTTGGCGTGGTTAGGCCCGAGTCCTATGCCCAACACTCTCAATTCTCCAACCATTATATCAATTAGTCCCCCAATTGAAGCTTCATTGCTCTGTTTTTTCATCTCCCCTGTTTCTCCCATTTCACCATCGCTGTACAATTCTGTCTGATCGAACTTTGTTTCCACTCGGGTTTCCATCGCAGGAAGAGGGATATACATTTTGTACGATGATGTGAAGTCGTGCCCGTACGAAGATGTTCATGTTCTGTGGTCGATACTGGTGGAGGCCAATTCCCCTCTGCAGCCACAGCAGCAGCCATCAAAGCAGCAATGAGCAAGAGCAGTAGTATCATTGCAGAACTGCACATTGGATCGCGGCGGAAATGACACATGCATTCGAGCTCAACCGTACCCTCATCTTTGTACATAGTAACAATAATTAAACCGTATTTATATTCGTGTTTTATTAAAATATACACAGACATTAGGAATGCTCTATCTTTTTTGGTCCTTCCCCTGTTTTCTTTGCTTTCCCCTGTTCTTGTATATGCTTTCCTACTGGCGTTTTTGGGATCTTCCATTGAACATGCTTAAACGGCAGTGAAACCCTAAAGGGGAATTTGGTGGGTAGGAATCATGGGGGAAATTGTGTTTCTAGATTCCTTCTTGTTCTTCAAAGTGAGCTGTGCTCTGTCTCTCTGGTGATAGTTGCTTTGTCAGTTTCAGCGGTAGAGAAGGGCAGGGGGTGACGGTTTGTCTCTTATTTTCATGTATGGTTACCGAAGTTGACTCTGCGAAAAACGAAAGATATCTGAAGGGATTGGACAACACATGAATTTTAGACTCGTAATTTACTACATCGACTCGATTAGTACCTTTTCTGTGATTATTATGAATAATGATGAGGTTTTTCAATTTGGATTTGCGCAAATTCTCTCCACCATTGACAATCCTGGACGTGTCTCACTTCACTTTCACTCCCTTCAAATAATCATATTGATTGGTTTTGAGATTCAACTACTACCATCTCTTTTTTTTTTCCATAGATAGAATTTTTTTTTTGCCATAGATAGAAGTGTAATAGATAGGGAATTACAAATAATTGAAAAATAAATAACGAAAATCAGTCAAATGCTGATTAGCTGATGCAAGTGTCGTTTTCACCACGCAATGGACAACTCTGTTAGTTCAATTGCATAGCCACTTTTGACGAAATACCAAAAATAGCCAATTCCGTCCAATTGTTTGACAATGTTAATTAACGTGCTGACTGGACTAACAGCAGTAGTTGACGTGGCATATTTTATTAAAAAATAATGTTAGATGGAAAATAATTAAAATTTTATACTTATATTTTTAATCAAATTAAATTAAAAAAAATAACAAAAATAAATATCTTTCTCCCCACCACCACCGCCTGTTCACCTTCATCAATACTTCCTACCAGAAGCTTCCTCTTCTCCAATCTCCACCATGCGAGCTCTCAATCCATCTGCCCCATTCACCACCTTCCTCCCGTCAACCCTTAGCAGAGGTTCCAAGACCCAATCCCTGCTCTGCCTCTCCAAATTCAAATCCACCGTCCACTTCGATTTCCTCGCCAGTTCCTCCGCCGCCCTATTCAAATCCCTAGCTCCACTTAGATACTCGATCAGTTCCTCCGCCGCCCCATTCAAGACCCAATCCATGCTTCTCCCCTACCCTCGCTGAAATCGCCGGCCTCGCGGGCGACGATTTCGTGCTCGTCGACATGGAGCACGGCCTCGACGGAATCACCGAGGCTCTCTACTGCATGCGAGCTCTGGCAGCCACTCGTATCAAATCCCTAATCCCCAATCCCCACCGCCACCAAACTTCCACAAATCCACGCGGCCGTCACCTCTCCGCACATCACATCCTCATCCTCACCACCAACGAAGGAGAATCGAGCGCAAGTAGATCCCCGCCCGCCGCTCGGCTACAGGAACCTCGTCCCCGGGACGAGATCACTTCATCGTCGGTGGCACGGATCAAGTGGAAAGAGACGGTGAGTCGAGTTCGCCCATAAAATCGGTTCTTCTTCTCCGCTAGCGGGAACAGAGGAGGAAGAAGATGGGTAGAGCCGAGAGAGGACCCAGAGTGGAATCGATTCTATCAGCGAGATCCTAGGGTTGGATTCCAGGTTTTGAATTGGACCATTTTGAGGAGATCCTGCTGAAATACCAATACCAGCAGCTACCGACGCCGCTACTTCTCTTCCTGCTGAAATTCTGGGAGTGAAGACAGGGGAGGGGAGTTCGATAGGGGAAGAGAGATTTGGGAGCTTGGCAGCGGTGGCGAGGACTGACCGGCGGCAGTTGCTGGTTTTGATGGAGAAGAAGAGGGGTTGCTGGAGGAGAAAGAAGAGGGTTCGAAGAGATTAGGTCAATAGGGATAGGGCGAATTTTTTTTTATTTTTTTATTTTTGTAAATGACGTGTCGTGTGAGTGCTGAGTTGGAAATGAAATAGAGGGTGAGTTGGCAGCCAAGTCAGCGTTCCGTTAATTTAACTAACGGTGTCACTGACGCCGTTAAATTATGTAACGGAAATGGCTATTATTGTCATCAAACTTTCAAAAATCTGGCTATTATTGGTATTTCTCCAAAAGTGGCTATATTTGGCAAAACCGTCAAAGTTTTGGCTATACAAGTGTATTTGGCTTAGATAGAAGTGTAATAGATAGGGAATTACAAATAATTGAAAAATAAATAACGAAAATCAGTCAAATGCTGATTAGCTGATGCAAGTGGCGTTTTCACCACGCAGTGGACAACCTTGTTAGTTCTACGAGGAGAAAAAACAAAACGAATAGACACGAACGATGCTTTCATCAGCCGAACTTCATCTAGGATTGCTCCGCCAATGTTATGCTGAGTCGTTTCCTCCGTCACGCGCCGGATCACCAATTGTGAGTCCCCACAAAAACAAACAGAGTAAATACCCCTAGTTAAGCACTAGTCCATCGCATCCCGTAACGCTAAGAGTTCCATCACAAAAGGGTCAAATAAACCACTGTAGAACTTACCGTAGACACAAACGATGGAGTCAGAAGGTGAGAATCCAACAAAGCCTATACTGCCACCTACCTCATGCCCAGTCGCCCCATCAAACCGAATGAGCAGTCCACCCGGGGGACAGGATGGCGAAGGAGAGGAGGTAGGCTGCCGAGCCAAGGGACACCCATTTGTAGATGGAGTAGAAGTGGATGCTGTCCATTCCTCCTTTTGCTGTAAGAATTGTCGAAAAAGAGGACCAGGGAGGAACTGAACCTTGTCATAGCAAGACCAGCAACGAGCCTTCCAAATCCGCCAGGTTATGAAGAAACTAGTAGTCACAACGTTTCTATGTTTTCGAATGAGCAAATCAAGGGTACCAGAAGGCGAATTGCAGATAGTTTGTCATTCTTCTGAATCGGTGAATAAGATGTTGCATCATCCACGTTAAATTCGAACATAACTATTAGTCAAAATCTATATAAAATATTTTCATTTTCTTTGAGATGGATTTAAAATGTGAATAACCAGGTGACATATATCATTCTTCTTGGATAGAGTGATAGGACGTCATGAAAGACGGGACAGTGTTTGACGTAATCAAAATTCAAATCCAAGATTTACCGGTTAAAAATAAACTACTTTTCCACATGCTAACTAGGGATGACAATCAAATCCATGTTCATGGGTATCCGACCGCCCCCATGGGCGGGTATAAGTAAAACCGGCAAAAAGTTAGATGAGTATGGATTTAGCCTCCCCCACCCCATACCCATACTTGCCCCACCAAAAATATTTCTTCATATATGAAAAATATGTGAATCATTTTGTAACCAATCAATAACAATGAATATAACTCAAGAAAAATATATAGTAGAAATGCAATTGAGTGACCACCCAAATCAAAATCTAATTTCTTTCTCTCAATTTTTCCTTCACTCTTTCACTTTTTCCCCTTGTTAAGATGATTTTGTTAGTTATTATAAAAATGCTTTGAATCATATTAAAAATGATTGTCTCTTTGCCGACTTAATGATATAGTAGGTGTATTTAATATTATAATTGAAAATCTACATGTAAAATATTATGTATTATAATGTTGGATGTACGGAGCGGGTATTACCCATGGGTACCCGAAATCCATGGGATAGGGCGGATATAAGTATAGACATTTGAAAACGGGGATGAGGATGATTTAGGCAAACACGCCCCAAACCCGCCCATTGTCATCCCTAATGCCAACAGTAACAAAGTTTATTATTATTCTATTGATTGAATTCATATTTGATGTTATCAAATGAAGAGAACTAGACGTTATGCTTGGAGCCTTGGACAAAACTTGATAAAAGTCTCCTACAAAAATTGTTTCCTCCCTTGACAAGAATGTATAACGTGTGAATTGAATTACCATATGAAATTCACCCCAAAATCTCAATGTTGAAACCGACTATTTACCATCTCATTATCATTGAGAGTTCCTTTTCGTTTTGCCATTTACCTGATTTGATATCGATTAATGTTGAGGCTTGTTGATTAATGACCTAGAGTACTATAGCCAGGTGTTGGTTTCATACATAGCCATGTAGGTAAAGCTGAATATTGATAGTAAAGCATCCTGGTAGTCACTGTCCATTATTGTCCACGTCACACTGTCCCTTCAGTTTTGTGAAATCTTTAGACCAAAACCTTTGTAAAAAGAGGGCGATAACGAAAAGAAAAGGTAGCTTCTTTCCTTGTTTAGGCCGAACACAGCATCCTGTGGAAGTCCAACAAATACACCGCCCAGGCAATTAGCTAGGCAAGTAGGCATCATGTCAACAAACATGAATTGCACCACGCAAGCTGCTAAATTTGAGGCTTTCAAATCTAAAATGGTAGAGCTGTCGGTTCACTCATGTGGTGCAAACTCTTTTAATGCAGCGCTGAAATAATTGGGCAACATCAGCATAAGGAAAACTTACGACCTAACCGACTATATCAATCGCCCACCAAGACCATTATGTACATCAGCAGTTGCTTATCTTGTTTCTAATCACTTCAAGCAAATGGTACTTCTTTAGGGTTCTTCAAAGCTTGAACGCCTCTCCCTCTCTCTCGTTTTCCTGGGAGAAAAAAGGCAAGGCAACAACCCTTCGGTGAATTAGCATTTGTCAAGTAACTGAAGAGCCGCGAGATCGAAGATATGAGCTACAGGTAGGGGTGTCAGTTCGATTTGATTCAGTTAACCGAATCGAAACTATTATAAACCAAAACAACGATAAAGAATGTTACTCCAAAATCGAACTTGAACCCGTTAAGGGTCTTATCGGTTTTCGGTTAACCAAAACCCGATAAGACTCTTAACAGGTTCGGTTCAACTAGAACAAATCGAAACTCCTTAGTTTCTGTTAGAGCAAGATTCGAGTTCGGTTTCTTATCGGTTTTCCAGCTTAAACTGAAACCAAAACAGTTAAAACAAAAACCACGAAACCGATAAGATTCTTATCAGTTTCGGTTTAAACCGAAAAACCGAACCCAATTCCCCAGACCCTAGCTACAGGAACAAGCAATTCACATAGGTCATAGGTGATTGTCTTCTGCAATGAGATTGGATGAGACCTAGTTTAAATGTTTGCACTTTGAGCTAGACCACCTAACGCTGATAAAACCAGTATGGGAATATCACAGTTCTATAACGCCTTTTACTACCTCTAATATACCCTGAACCACTAGGCTCACTGGTCTGGTATGCAGTACAGTTTCACGATCCAAGGTTATTAAGCTATGGTTTCAATTCTAAACTAAGGAGTTAACTCTTCGACTTATTCTTCTTTGTGTTTATTCCTATGGCTATTAACCGGGTCGCAATCGGTTTTTGCATGGAGATCGCAAGAGTCCTACAGCTATTAAAAGAGTTACCAAATTGCAGGAGTGAAGAGTCTAGCAGAATAGAAAGACGTTCTAGAAATAGACTGCAGGATGAAGTGATATCAGAACGGACACTGAGGTTGAAACAGAGGGGGGAAAGTACGAAATTGAAACTCACCAGTAATGAGTTCACCACTTTGGACGCTTTCCCAATAAAATGCAGCAACTTATAAGGCAGACGGGGATGTGTGGTCAACTACACTCGGTAGCCAATCTTTGAAGTATGTGTGGCAGCCTACGTCAGCAGGGGAAAGAGCAGCAAGGGGAGTTACAGTAATCTGAAACAGAGAGAAATAGCAAGATGGTCCCGCTCACTCAAATTACAGTTCACAAGAGTTCAGTGAAAGCAGGGAATACATTTAAGTTATAACACGTACATATCCATCCTTGAGATATTTGTGGTCCGTATCATCTTCAACAATTTGTGCTCCTTCCACCTGAGAAGAGTCAGATTCAAGTAAGTAAATCTTATCTTCCTAAAAATGGGCTTTGTTTGGTAAATAGAAAGGAATTCCCACTTTCTAAGCTGCAAGAAGAATACCAAAACTCTGGCGAAAAGAATGAAGGTAAGAAAGAAAGGGACCGACTTCTCTTTGGAAGATGAGACTTCCTTGGGATGCATCAGCCATTATATCAGCCTCCACTGGCATCTTTGCATCTGTATCCATTGTCATTGTTGACAACATTTTCCCTCGTGTGGTAGAAGTAACTTGCTTCCATCCCGTTCTATATATGCTTTTACCTTGTCTGGTGAGCTTATACCCCTATTGCAATCAATAAAAGAACAAATGCTAGTATTAGAATAGTATCAGAATAGCCCAATGTACAGTCTACCACACCTAAACCAAAGGAAGGTTTTCAGATCAGCATCCCCCTTCCATCGTCCAGACATTTTATAGTCATTAGATTTAAACATAAAATGACTTGCGTGCCCCAACTCTCCAGACACATTAGCAAGATATATAAGTTCCACATTCAAAGGTTTTATGCTTGAAATTATACCTTGTGCTGGGTAACATTTGTTGGCAAGTCTACATTCAAGAAGCACCCAGATGGATATTTTTTATTTTTAACTTCAGCAAGTATGCTTGATATAATTGGTATGCAAGCCTCAGCAGCAAGGGTGAAGTCATCAACACTGCTCTTTCCCCCAACCCTACAGATTCAGAACAGTTAGAAACAGACACACTAATTAGTGCTCTGCATTTTAATGTAAAATATGCGGTGTAGTTAGATTAACTATAATAAATTTACCACAAGACGGAAAGCTAAGTGTAGAGAAGAGTGTATCTTGCCAATCATATGATACAGAGACTGAAGGGATGTCTTTCAAGAAGGCCTCACGGGCACCAGCAACTGTGCCGGAGTACACGCTGTCATACCAAACAAGGGAATCATCAGTGTATAGAAATGCAGTAATCGTAGTCTCCAGTAATTCCACGGATTTCATATCTAATACTTCGCTAAGTGCGCCACACAAAAATCATGGAAGTGGTAATTGGTTCATACATGTGATAGCCGCAGTTGCTCCCAAAGTTTATGCCACTCACCACCTGCGTACATCAAATTTATAACACACAAGTAAACTTTAGAGAGACAGTGTTTCGGGAACAGATACTGCACAACAAAGAATGAGGGATCCACCACAAGTTCTAAGCAGAAGGACTCATCATAAGTAAAATTAAAAAAGACTAGGCATCTAAATCGCTGAGCTAGTTCAACATAAGGCAAACATGATCATCCATGGCATAGTTACTAGCAACCAATAAGGAATCTGAAATCTGAACCCAATTGTTAACAGCATTCTTCTAAGTGTCAGTTTCGAAGCTAGAGAATGAAAGCCAGAGAGCTACCAGGTTAGGAACTGAAGGAAACAGCGCTCCGGAGACTCCTAAGGAAGTACAATCAGCCGGAGTGCCTGCACAGTACAGAGAAATCTTCATTCTCCATCAAAGACTACACAGAGGTCAAATATTTTGAAGAGGGAGAGCAGCGAATCCCAAATGATTCGGACCAGACACTCCATAGGCCGTAGCTCCATCGATTTCCACTCGACGAGCAGAAATTGGATGCCGCCAAGTAATACTGTGACTGACGGCTGACTTCTCTCTGCAATTTGTTTATTAGCTAATTAGCTGATACCCCGCTGATGAAACCTAATTCCGCCATCAACAAAGCTCAGAAACAATCGTAATTCGTTCTTCACATAAACAGGAATTTCCAATCATCACTCCAACTCTCACCGCTCGGGATTCGAATCGAGAGTTTCCATCGCAATTCTATACCACCTACGGCTAAAATCAAAAGACTACTTCCAGTAACGAAGAAGGAAATAACGAGAACGCAAGAAAAAGAAGAAAAACAACTTACGAATCAGGAGCGCAAACCAGTACTTGGAAGCGACGAGTGGAGACCAGGACTCGAACCAGGGATCGGAGCCCAGGCGCGTCGATACCGTCGTCGTTGGTGACCATGACGGTCGGCAGGTTATGATCGAAGCTAGAAACGGCACCGGAGTTCTCCATTCTCGATTGCGATGTTGCCACAAGGGACGATCAGGAGGAAGAGGAGGAATCGTTGGTGTTCTGTTAACTGGTCAACGGAGAGAAGAGAGTGCGTTTTCGCGGAGGCGGAACAAATTTGGCCGCGAATCTTCGCCTTCCGTTCGATAGAGTTTGCTGCGTTTGGTTGGTCCGTGATGGGAATATGCTGCTGAGGTGGCTGAAAATAATCATGTTGATGACACTTTATATTTTTCTTATTATTGTTACATCTTATGATTGTTACATTTTAGTTTTAGGTGTGCCTACGGTGACATGCATGTCACGGTGACTTGCACTTTCCAGTCGATCTTAGTTAGAATTAGGTCGACCTCATTTAGAATTCGGTCGACCTCATATAGGATCTGGTCGATCTAATCTATTGTTTCAGTGTTAAAACAGTTCATTGTGTCTACTTTGAATATTCATATTATACAATTGGCTAGATGGAAATTGGAGACTAATGACTTGTTTTGAAGCTGGAGTGTCCCTCTACATATTGAAGTGATTGAGAGCTCGATAGGAAGTTCAGAAGACCATTTTTGAACCTCATCAAAAGGCTATGCCAAAACTGGGAAACTGCCTAGAAATGGCTAGGTCTGGAAACGTGTTTGTGAAGCCTATTTTGGAGCTTAATTCGAGAAGCATGAATGCGAGTCGAGTCCAGGAGCCTCTATCACGTTAAATTAGGTATGTTTTATACAAATTCAAGGCATTGGATGAAAGATTGGATATCTGTAAGCCTTCAAAGAAAAGGGTCGAAGTTGCTACGAAGGCTGTTTTTCTGCCAGAAAAACAGCATTCGTAGCAACTTCGACCCTTTTATTTGAAGGCTTACAGATATCCAATCTTTCATCCAATGCCTTGCCTTTGTATAAAAAAACACGTAATTTAACGTGGTAGAGGCCCCTGGACTTGACTCGCATCCATGCTTCTCAAATTGAGCTCCAAAGTAGGCTTGACAAACACGTTGCCCGGCTTAGCCATTTTCAGGCAGTTTTCCAGTTTTGGCGTAGCCTTTTGGTCAGGTTCAAAAATGATCTTCTGGATTTTCTATTGAGCTCCCGAGTACTTTAATGTGTAGAGGAACACTTCAGCTTCAAAACAAGCCTTTAATCTCCAATTTCCATCTAGCCAATTGTAAGATATGAATCTCCAAAGTAGTCACCATGAAACTGTTTTTACACTAAAACAACATATTAGGTCAACCTAATCCTATATGAGGTCGACCGAAAAATGCATGTCACCATAGCAAAGTCCTTAGTTTTAAGGTTGTTACATTTTAATGATGTTAATTTTATGGTTGTTATATTAATAATTTTAAAATTTGCTAAACTATATCAATATTGTTGCATTTTGTATGAGTTATGGTTGGTGGTGCATTAGCCAATCATGTATTATGATATAGAACTGAATGATATTGATACCATGAATAAGTGACCATGATGTTTTGTTTTTTCCTAACATATATCAAAATGAATATTATTATGTAGATTAAGAAAAATAGGATACTATAAAAACTAGACTTTGATTGGTCGAAAACTTCTTTCTCATAAGAGGGATCTATGACATGCTCAGTTGCTCACAACAAATCACAAAAAAGAAGAAGATATGAATGTGAAATTATCACGCCGCTTCTTTTGTCCCCATATGAGTTGCAGGTTGTCTATATCAAGTTAATGGACAGATGGAGATATTGATTTTTTTTAAAGATTTTGTAGACAAGGGTATTTGTCTTATCCTCTCCCCAAAAAAGATTTGCATATACTTTTGGTTAATACCCTAGTTTGGCCCCAAGTTTAGCGTAAGTGTCAATTCTGGTCCCATTTTTCAAATAAGATATTTATGGCCTACTTTTGAAATTATTGGACAAATTTGGCCCGCATTTTGAATTGACCGTCAAAATTGACGGTCAACCATTTTCTCCGTAAGTGACTCAACATCCACTGCTGACTAGGACGTCCACATCATTTAAAACTACAAAAAAAAAAAAAAAAAGATGGCCAAACGAAACCCTTTCCTCTATCTTCTTCCTCTTCTAACTTCCACCTCCACGCATTGCGAAATCCTTCCCCCAATTTCCTTCCCCAAATTTCCTTCCCCATCCTACAATCTCTAGCTGCCTCTCATTGTCGCCATCCCTGACTGACTTCCTTGTATCAATGGCAACCCTCATCGTCAGAGTCAAGCCACCACATCTTTTCCCTCTTTCACTCTACTCCAGATATGGGTCGGGGATCTGAATCAGTTTTGAAAACCGAAGAACCCAAACCCAAAATTTCAGTTCTGGGAAATCGTTTGGAGAGACGACCATTGACAGCTGCTTCTTCCAATGAGAGAGACCATTGGCATACTTGCTCTCACTGGACGCACGCGCGTCGCACTACTGCACCGCCAACGCCACCAACGCTCCCCGTCGCCTTCGCTTCCGCAGAAGAGGCACCATCACAAGTTCGACGAGGAGAGGGATAGGGGCAATCAAAGAGCAGCAGCCTCTGATCTTGTGGACGGAATCTCGATGGAGCAGCAGAAAAATCGGACGGACAAGAAAAATGGTAGGGGAGATGGAGCGGAGGTAGGCGAAGATGGGAATGGGTTGCGATAATGAAGATTTAGGGATTCCAGATTCCTATTCGGTGGGGATGGGAGTGAGTTGGGTCATGAGGGGAGGGACTTTTTTTTTTTACGGGAATGAGGGGAGGGACTTTTTTTTTTTTACGGGAATGAGGGGAGGGACTTTAGGGTATTGGAAAGTGTATTTTGGTTTTTTATTATTTTTTTATTTTAAGTTTTTTGTTTTAAAACTTTTTAATCTAAATAAATGGTGTGGCAGCCACCTCGGATCCACCTCAGTATTTTGATGCTGAGTCATTGACGAAAAAAATAGTTGACCGTCTATTTTGACGGCCAATTCAAATCGTAGGCCAAATTTGTCCAATAATTTCAAAAGTGGGCCATAAATGTCTTATTTGAAAAATGGGGTCAGAACTGTCACTAACGCTAAAGTTCGGGCCAAACTAGGGTATTAACCCTATACTTTTTAGTACTCCCCAAATCACCAAAGGGGTATACAAAAATTTACGATGATAGCCGATATTGAAATTAGGGTCCTTAATTAGAAGTCGAGTATTCCAACAACAATTCAATAACAAAACAAAATCTATCATAACATATAATCACCAATAACAACTAATCAAAACCAAACCTAAGAGAATATATGTAACATTCAATAAAAACTTGAACTAATTACCAATGTCCTACAAACCCAATCCAAAACTACATCAAACATTTACATATATAAGTCCCTTATTGGCCAGGAAAAAAACTCGTAGGAGACCACGTACAATAGCTTATTTTGAAAACCAACTATTATTTTATTTATATTTTATTAGGCTCCCAAGGTTTTATGGATAACAGAAATCATAAACACGATTTCCCATATCATAAAAACACGGCCCATTCGATTAGAAGTTGCAACGGGCCAAGTTTTGTTGAAGGAGGATGTTATAATATTTGCTTGATTTACCATGCATGCATCATCTGTATCGTGGCTGATAGTGGAGACCTGTAGCTAGATGCTCTAATATCAAGTTAATGGACGAACGAAGATATTGGTTTTGTACGATTTTGTAGATAGTGGTTTGTACCTTATCAGCTTCCATTAAACATTTACAAAATACTTTTTAGTACTCCCAAATGACTGAAAGGGTAAACAAAAATTTATGAGAATAGGTGTTATTGAAAATTAGGATCCTTAATTAGATGTCAAGTTTCCAACTAACAATTCAATAAAAAAAAACCAAATCTATCATAGCATATAATCACCATTAACAACTAATCAAAACCAAAAACTAAAAGAGAAAGTGTGCAACATGCAATAGAAAACGAAACTAATTACCAATGTCCTACTAACCCAATCCAAAACTACATCACACAGTAGGATATATAAGTCCCTTATTGTTCGAAAAAAAACTCTTAGTCTTAGCAGATTACGTACAATACTTTATTTTGAAAATTAACTCTTATTTTAGTGCAATTTCATTAGGCTTCCTGGGTTCCATGGATAACAGAAATCATAAGCACGATTTCCCATGTCATAAAAACACGGCCCACTATGCTTCACGATCCATAGGCAGTTTCCACAACGCGCGTAATCCCTTCTCCAGATGTAGATGTCAAACAAATGAACCCTTCCCTCTCCCCAGTCCATTGCACAATAGAATTGTGTGGTTCGCCATAAGTTTGGCCGAAATTTCCAACTGAAGAAATTGTGTGGCTTTAGCACCCGGAGCCCGAGATCGTCGTCTCCGGACCTGCAATGAACTCTCAGTTCCCGCTCTCCTTCTAGCTCATTCCTCACTTCCACCCTTGCCTTTTGAAACCCCAAATCCCACCAATGCTGATGACCATGCGCCTCGATGAAAGAAGTTGCTACGGTTAATAATAGGAGGGCAACAAAAAAACAATTTTGCGTCCACATTGTTGTTTCTTTGTATGTTTAATCACCATATATGAGGCTTTGAGTTTGCTTACTTATAGGTGAAAATCAATGCAGGTGATTGAAGATCTTGTTGTGTGATAGTTTCTATCATAAGATCTGCTCCATAAATCTATGATAAGATGAATTAATGGATTAAAAAGATCATGGTCTTTTGCAATGACTTTCGGGGAATTTGACCATTTTAGTTTAGAACTATTTCCTTTAATGAGAAAAGTATCTAGAAACCAATGATAATAAACTGAATCGCTATTCGTCGCCCTAAAATTCAAATTTTATCGCCCTAAAATGCTTAAAATTGACGTTCTTGCCCCTCTAACCCCATTCCTTTTGGTGCAGCCGCATCTTCTCGGCAGACTTCCTCTTCATTAACAAGCTTGGCTCCAGTGGTGGTTTTCGCTCTGCCTTCTCTGTTTTCTTCTTTACCGTGTCTCTTAGCCTTAGTCTTTTGCTCAGATCTAAACTAATAAACCTCTCATCTCGTTATTAAATACTATGTGTTCAACCTTTGTCCTGAACCCTAACTGAGAGTTCAGGGTCAATTCTATACGGATGAATATCATCTTCCTTGCCAATTTCATGCATATTGTTTGCATGGATAAACTTTTAGGACTTTGCTACGGTGACATGCATGTCACGGTGACATGCACTTTTCGGTCAACCTCATATAGGATTAGGTCGACCTAATCTGTTGTTTCAGTGTAAAAACAGTTTCATGGTGCCTACTTTGGATATTCATATCTTACAATTGGCTAGATGGAAATTGGAGATTAAAGGCTTGTTTTGAAGCTGAAGTGTCCCTCTACACATTAAAGTACTTGGGAGCTCAATAGAAAGTCCAGAAGATCATTTTTGAACCTAATCCTAACTGAGGTCGACCGGAAAGTACAAGTCACCGTGACATGCATGTCACCGTAGGCACACCCGCAATAATATTGCTAGTAATTTGTTTCAAATGACCTTTGTATATTCCGTATTATTATGGATTTTCATTGTGGTTGATGACTTGGTGTTTTTAATATAACATAAGAGTGAAACTTGAGACTTGTTAAAAGGTGTGTCTAAATTAACAAGATAATCAATTTGATAAAAACGGTTACGAGATATAATTTTTTTTATTAGGGTAGTGATTTTCAAATGTGTGAATTTTCCATGGAATATGGCATTGAATATCAATTGTCATATGTTGAGACCCTTGAAAAGAATTCCAAGGTGAAGAGAAAGCATCAAAACATTCTAAATATTGCTAGATCGTTTAGATTTCAATCAAATAACGAGAAAGAAAAATTACTTTCTCACTCTGGATTTGGTTGGTAGAGAGAAGGTACGATTTTTTTTTATAAAATAAAATTAGTAAGGACAATATTTTGATAAATATTTAAAAGCAAACTTTTAGCTAAATATCTTATCAGGAAATTCAACTCTTGGACACATCTAGAAAAAGAATAAATATGTGCACAATTATTTAGACCGTCCCTTATATAAATTTTTTAGTAACGAGATCCAAAACGAAAGTGAAAAACTAATGTGATCTAATAATCATTTTCAACTATCACATACATTTCTGTAAATTTATGATCATTGGTTTCAAGATACTTTTCTTATTAAAGGAAATAGATCAAAACTAAAATGGTCAAATTCCCCGAAATTCATTGCAAAAACCATGATCTTTTTTAATCCATTAATTATGCTATCTTCTCCAACCAATTCATCTTATCATAGATTTATGGAGCGGATCTTATGATAGAAACTATCACACAACATCTTCAATCACCTATATTAATTTTCACCTATAATAAGCAAACTCGACACCTCATATGGCGATTAAACAAACAAAGAAACAACAATGTGGATGCAAAATTGTCTTTTTGTTGCCCTTTTATTACTAGCACTAGCAACTTCTTTCACCGAGGCACATGGTAGTCAACATTGGTGGGATATTGGGTTACTAAAAACGAGGGTGGAAGTGAGGAATGGGCTAGAAGGAGGGCAGGAACTAAGAGTTCATTGCAAGTCTGGAGATGACGATCTCCATCTCCGGGTGCTAAAACCACACAATTTCTTTAGTTGGAGCTTTCATCCAAACTTATGGGGATCCACACAATTCTATTGCGCCATGGACTGGGGAGAGAGAAGAGTTCATTGGTTTGACATCTACATCTGGAAGAGGGATTACCCGCGTTGTGGCAATTGCCTATGGATCGTGAAGCAGAGTGGGCCGTGTTTTTATGACATGGGAAATCGTGATTACGATTTTTGTTATCCATGGAACCCAGGAAGTCTAATGAAATTAGACTAAAGTAAGAGTTGGTTTTCAAAATAAGTAATTGTACTAGCCTCTAAGAGGTATTTCGAACAATAAATGGTCTTATATATCTTTATTTGTGATGTAGTTTCTGATTGGGTTTGTAGGACATTGCCAATTAGTTAGTTCAATTTTCTATTGCATGGTGCACACATTCTCTTCGGTTTGGTTTTGATTAGTTGTTATTGATGATTATATGTTATGATAGATTTGGTTTTTGTTATTGAATTGTTAATTAGTTGGAAACTTGACATCTAATTAAGGACCCTAATTTCCAATATCAGCTATTATCATAAATATTTGTATACCACTTTGGTCATTTAGGGAGTACTAAAAAGTATTGTGCAAATGTTTTATGAGAGTGAAATGATGCATCTATTAACTTTGATATTAGAGCATCTACAAGTCTCCATTATGATCCATTGTACAAATGATGCATGCATGACAAATAGAGCAAATATTCTAACATCGATCCTCCTTCAACAACACTTGGCCGGTTGCAACTTCTGATCGAGTGGGTCTTGGAATCACGTTTTGCTTTGTCCCTCCCTGCCTTTGTCCAAACAGTTTTGCTTAGTTGCTTACTTCTCAATATCAGTCTAATAATTACTTATTGACATAGTATGAGTGTTGACAAATGGTACAACACGTGAGTATTAGTTTAATTACGTATGGGGTGTGTTGACAAATTGTACAACCTCCGTATTCATCTTAGTCACATAGAAGGATGAGTTCATTCAAAATTAAAAGGGGTTCGAAAATTATCAAATGGCTAATTATGCAGAACAATAACATAAGGGAAAATAATAGTGGATTATTAAAAAGTAGGATAAGTAAGATATTGCTTCATGAGATTAATAGCTTGAAATTAATATTAAAATAATGTTTGAATCAATTTTTCGATTAAAATAAGGTTATAGGTATAATATGTCCCTCTACTATAACGTTTTCTGACAGACTTCGAGCACAAGCAAGCTGCCAGAAAAACAGCATTCCTAGCAACTTCGAGTCTTTTGTTTGAAGCGTTAAAGATATCCAATCTTTCATACAATGCCTTGCCTTTGTAGAAAAACATACTTAATTTAACGTGGTAGAGGCCCTTGGACTCGAATCGCGTCCATGCTTCTCAAATTGAGCTCCAAAGTAGGCTTCACAAACACGTTCCCAGACTTAGTCATTTTCAGGCAGTTTTCCAGTTTTGACATAGCCTTTTGATCAGGTTCAAAAATGGTCTTCTGGACTTCCTATCAAGCTCCCATGTACTTTAATGTGTAGAGGGACACTTCAGCTTGAAAACAAGTCATTAATCTCCAATTTCCATCTAGCCAATTGTAAGATATGAATCTCCAAAGTAGGCACCATGAAACTGTTTTTACACTGAAACAACAGATTAGGTCGACCTAATCCTATATTAGGTCGACCGAAAAGTGCATGTCACCATAACAAAGTCCTATTATTGCGAGCAGGAAAAGTAATCGTTTGTGTTTGGAAGAAATTATGCATTCCCAGAATGTTACGGATAAGGGGAAGGTGTTGAAAGAAATAATTAGCATTTGGTATAACTGGCTTCAGATGGAGAATCACCCGTACTATTAATTACCTCGTAATATATGTATTTAAACCTCTAAAAAAGGAATAAGATAATCGTTATCCTGGCTCTCAGTGTAAGAAACTTTTGCATCACACGTACAAAGGCTGATAATGGATACATGCAGATGCTCTAATATCAAAGTTAATGGACGTATGAAGATAATGATTTTGTAGATATGAGTTTTGTGCCCTATTCGCTCCCCTGCATAATAGGTTTAGTACTCCCCAAATCACCAAAGGGGTATACGAAAATTTATGATTATAGCTGACATTGAAAATTAGGATCCTTAACTAGATGTCAAATTTCCAACAAATTATTAACAATTCAATAACAAAAACCGAATTTATCATAACATATAATCATCAATAACAACTAATCAAAGCCAAACCTAAGAGAATGTGCGTAACATTCAATAGAAAATTGAACTAATTAGTAATTACCAATGTCCTACAAACCCAATCGAAAAGTATATCACAAATAAACATATATAATACCCTTTATTGTTCGAAAAACCTCTTAGGAGACTAGCATACAATTACTTATTTTGAAAACCAACTCTTATTTTAGTCCAATTTCATTAGACTTCCTGGATTCCATGGATAACAGAAATCATAAGCACGATTTCCCATATCATAAAAACACGGCCCACTCTGCTTCACGATCCATAGGCAATTGCCACAACGCGCATAATCCCTTCTGCAAATGTAGATGTCAAACCAATGAACCTTTCCCTCTCCCCAATCCATGGCGCAATAGAATTGCGTGGTTCGAAATAAGTTTGGACGAAATTTCCAACTGAAGAAATTGTGTGGCTTTAACACTCGAAGCCCGAGATCATCGTCTCCAGACCAGCAATGAACTCTAAGTTCCCGCTCTCCTTCTAGCTCATTCCTCACTTCCACCCTTGTTTTTTGAAACCCTAGATCCCACCAATGCTTACTACCATGCGCCTCAATGAAAGAAGTTGCTACTGTTAATAATAGGAGGGAAACAAATAAACAATTTTCCATCCACATTGTTGTTTCTTTGTTTGTTTAACTGAGGCTTTGAGTTTGCTTACTTATAGGTGAAAATCAATGCATGTGATTAATGATCTATTTGTGTGATAGTTTTTATCATAAGATCCGCTCCATAAATCTATGATAAGATGAATTAATGAATTAAAAGAGATCATGGTTTTTGCAAATAATTTCGGGGAATTTGACCATTTTAGTTAGAACTATTTCCTGTATCAGAAAAAGTATCTAGAAACCAATGTTAATTAGCTATGTAAGATACACCGGAATGTATGTGATAATTGATAATGATCATTATATCACATTAGTTTTTCACTTTCATTTGGGACCATGTTACTAAAAAATATATATAGGGGACTCTCTAATTAAATCTGCACATATTTATTATATTTCTACATGTGTCCAAGAGTTGAATTTTCAAATAATAGATTTTGCTAAAAGTTTGTTTTTAGATATTTATCAAAATATTACTAATTTTATTTATAAAATTATGTCGTTCCTCCTCTCAACCAAGCAAATCCATGAAAATTTAATTTTTCTTTCTCGTTAATAATATCTTTAGTAAATCATATAATTTGACTAAAATCTATGCGATCTAGCAACATTTAGAATATGTTGATATTTCCTCTCCGTCCTAGAATTCTTTTCGAGGGTCTCAACATATGATTTTTAATATTAAATGCCATGTTCCATGGAAAACTCACACATTTGAAACTCACTGCCCTAATAAGTTTTTGTTATCTCTTTAACATTTTTATCAAATTGATTCTCTGTTAATTTAGACACACCTTTTAACAAGTCTCACAGTTTTACTCTTATGGTGTATTAATAACACCAAATTATCAACCACAATAAGAAAAATATGCAAATCCACAAAAAATATTGAATATACAAAGGTCTCCAAATGTCAACATGGACAATTTGGAACTAATCACTAGCAATACTAGTGCGAGCAGGGAAATGTACTCATTTGTGTTTGGAGAAGTGACAAACATCACAATATTGAATTTTAGAACTTGCAGTAAAATTTTATTTCGGCAACAGAAAAAACCTATCACTAGCAATACTAGTGCGAGCAGGGAAATGTACTCATTTGTGTTTGGAGAAGTGACAAACATCACAATATTTAATTTTAGAACTTGCAGTAGAATTTTGTTTCGGCAACAGAAAAAACCTATCACTATTAGGAAGTCCTAATGGCCAATAATAGAGGTCAATTAGTGAGGGCTAAATTGAAGGTCCTAGTTGCTTAAGATTGATGAAGCTGATGAGTCTCGAATGATGGAAAGGTAAGTTGGTACAAGATATAATTTGTCTTGCTCAACCAATCATCCTTATGCTTAGAAGGTCCTTGATTTGGAATTAATCCAAATGGAAATATAAGGCTAAAGCAAAATCTTGTGTAAGCTTGTCAACAGAGACAAGGTTAATTAAATCAAAAAATGGGAACAAGTACATTATACTAATAGAGGCTTGATGACAAGGTTTACTATACCAATGTGAGTCACTTGAATTTTGAAGGTGTTAGTGTTAGGCAAATGAGCAAAAAGTTATTATGCACTTCTCTGTGCTCAACCAAAATAATCAAAGAGCAAGAGATAAGATTTGAAGTCCATATATTTAAAATCAAAAGATTAACTAAGTTGCCATTATGCTTTAAGAAGGAGGATTATCAGAATGTAAGGGAAAAGGGGAAAGTGTTGAGAGAATAAATAATCATTGTGTGCTGAAGTAGTTGGTGAAGGGGGTAGGATTACCCCATGGCCAAAAAGATTAACTGTCCCGATCATAATATCTCTTAGTCAGTTCCTTTAAGCCATGAGTCTCTTCTTTGTGTAGGTAGAGGTCCCTTTGTGTTTCTTTAAGGTTCCACATGGTCGATTTTACATAATTAAGCTGAAAATGAAAGTGAGTGAAGGAGGTAAAGGATGAACGGTATGTTCTTAAAAGTGGAAAAATGTGGCAAGTTTGTTAGCTCTCAAAGAAATTGAAAATAAAAGAGAGGCAAAGAAAAGAGAATAACAAGAAAGAGAGTTCTCACAAAGGAATTAATTTGCTCCAAAATACGCCTCCTACACTCTTGTGCTCAAAAAGTTATTAAAACAGCATTATCATAGAAGGATTGAGTTTTTTGACTAGTTGATTGATGTGGTTTGTGGTTTGATACTATGGAACCTATGTTTGAATTTTTACCACCACCTAAGAATCATGTTCATCATGTACTAGATCCTAGCCAATAAACGTTGACCCGTTCAAGTCCTTTTGACGAGTTAGTGGTGACAACTTTTGTGTTGAGTCTAACCCTTAGAGGTTGCTATCATGATGAACAAATGTTAGGATTGAGAGAAAGAGCATGTACATTTTTGTATCAAATTGTCCCGACCCCA